TTTAGACGAAGCTTTTATTTTGATGCAAAATAAACATTGAAATTGTTTCATATATTCTTTATTTGTGTACGAATACAATTTAACAAAAAGTTGGAAGCAACTTATTATTCATTCAGCGATCTGATGTAGTCAATCTCAATATTTCTCACTGCTTCAAGTATAAACATGACAAATTTCATTTTAGATAATATGAGCAGCAACATAGTCTCAAACTTATTCTACGTAAACTAACTTTCAAATGTTCAAAATTAAGTAATAAACTGAGATAAAGTACGCAACTTCTTGCAGCTGAAGAAATTAATTTTGTCAAGTATCAATTTATAATTCACCTGAGTCAGCTTTGACGGGTCATATAGATCTCGTAGAATAATGAATAGCTCTATCTGAATTCGCTGACTAGAAAAAGTGAAAAACATTGCATAATTGTTCAAAACTAAAAATTGATTAAAATGCAATTCATTTTATATACAAATGGAGATCGTTAATAAAATAGAATATTAACTTGTATTAAAATAAAAGTGCAAAAGATGAAATTCAAAAATAAATAGACATAATACAAGTAAAACTACAGTTATCAAGAGCGGCAGGAAGTACGAAACAAAGTGATAAAAACTCTTTAATTAATGATTTCAGCCAAAATTTTTAAAACTGATTCATGCTCAGAGGTTTACAACTTTTTACAAACAAACAGTTGAAAAAATAATCAAAAATGTTTATAACACTTCACAATTTTGTATAATAACAAATAAAAATGTCATTTTATTGGACTATTTGAGCCTTTGACGATAAGTATTTTTTTTTAAATCAAAAGCTTGCAAATTAAGTTATCAAATGTTGCTTGAATCTGCCTAAATGAGCAACAATAAATATAGCAAAAATTTCTTTTATAGAAGTTGTCGCTAACTTAGTCAGAAATCAAGTGTCACGTTACTTTCAATGAATAAGTTACAAAATAACTAACAAATCAGTGAAATTGACATTTTTTTAGATGTAAAAATGAAAGTTTAATTTTAAAAAAGTGTTACATAACATTTATTGGTTTCCGCCCAAAAAAATGATTTTTCCTTTAACCAATTAATTTTATGATTATTTTTTCGGTCTAATAAATTGCGAAAAATCTAAAATGCATACTTTGCTACGTTACTTCAATATCATAAGAATTGAAAATACGGTCATTTAATTGGATAAAACACTATATGGAGGTCATACTGTGGTTCAGATGAAAGTGACATTTCTGTAAAGTATTAAAAAGTTTCAAATTTCTGCATGAGATAATAATTAACTTTCCTATACTTTCATCATGTTTCTTTCTAAAGCATTACTTAGTTGATCCCATCAAAAAGATCATTCAATTGGAAACAAATTAAATATTGTATTCTTTCAGAAAATTAGAAATAAATTGACTAAGTTTTTCGAAATATAACTAAAATGCAACGTTATTTCCACCGCCAAAAAAGAAGCAGTTGTTTGCCTTCTTGTTGATGACAGTCGAAAACCTAGTGACAATTCTACTTGGAACATTAAAAAAATTGAAAATCGAAAGAATTCAAGTAAATATTAATGTTTACATTTTAATTACACAGTTAAAATGTCATTTTGAAGTGCTGGCATTATGGATAAAAGAGTGGAAAGTTCATGGATGATAAAATTAAGAACAAATGCGATCACAAATTTGGTGATCAAATCGATAACACGTAAGAAAAAAGGCATTCATCAAATTTGGGGCAAACGTTTAGCATGTTGACAAGTTTGATTTAAAATAAGTCTGACATGCTTTTTCTTCCAAGTTATACTGCGAATCATGTGATACTCATTCATTTAAATTATAATTCATATCATTTCGCTTCGGGAGTAATTTAAGCAGCTTCCGTTTACACTGAATTATAATTTCCAATCAATATGTAAAATAAATTAACTCAACCATTACTTACAAATTATTTACTTGCAGGAATTCACTTAAGAAGGTTTATTATAATGTAACATAACTTCTTTAACTTCTTCTGCACATTTATCAAGACATATTAGAGTTATTGTTAATCAGGCATGATCTTTTCATGCTGAAAAATGAGCAATGTTCATATTAAAATTTACTTAGAATTTCAAAAAAATTATTAAATAGTTTAGTTTACTTAAAAATTTATTTTAAAAGAGCAAATATTTTGCAAGTTGACAATTTAGTAAATCGTTAGTTCTATAATCATCACAATGATCAAATTTACAAGTTTGTCAGTCTGACCCGCCTAATTTTCATCGACTAGTAAATTTAACGGTTCGAATGAAAACATACAAAGTCATTCATATCTATGAACAAACAGGTTTTGTGAATCAAAATGTGCAACTGCTCAGTTTCATTTTGGATGAATTATTTGGATGTCAATGTGATTGCAACTCAAATATTTAAATTAAACTGTTACTCATATAATCAATAAAATAAACAAAAATTTTGGATTATAAGCTGTAAAAAAAGTTGCAAAAATGACATTTCCACTTTTACTTCATGTCTTTGTTACAAATATTTTCTTTCTCAGAAAACCAAAAGGCTAAATTTTACTTCTTTCTTCGCATACCAAAATATGCCACATGCTTCTACACAAATGCAAAAATTCTGCAGTGCAAATACATTATAACAGTTTTGAATTCATTTCTTGCATTATTCACTGAAACGAAATTGCAAGTTAAAATATTGAGAGAAATTAAAAAATTCTTGTATTTCTGCATTGATGTTATATGGATGTAAAAGTGTAAAGCTGATTTATGAAAAAAAAAATCAAAATGAAAACATTTTCAAAAGTTGCAATTCTCTCCTAAATGTAAAATTGGTATATATTTGATTTATTCCACTTATATGAAATATTGGAGAAACCATTTTCTGCATTTTCAAATACTATTTTGACTTTGAATATTCAAAGTTAATTAAATTCAAAAATTAGTTAGTAGTTAAAAATCTCTAAAAAAACCGAAAAAGAACCAATGTCAAAATAAAGGTTTATGAGAATACATTAATTGTTGAGTTAAGAGAAAAGCAATGATGCTTGTGACTACGAATGCCTCAAGTGACAAAAAATCACTTCTAAGATGATAATCTTTGATAATTTATGTTAAGCCTACATAAAGTTTTTAGCGATCTTTTCAGTAGCACTTCAGTTGAAACTAAAACACTGTTATCGATTATTAATTATCCGCGGTACCATCAACTGCAAATTAATTTAATTAACTCAATCTTGAATCTGAAGATATTGAATTGAGCTTTTTTCTCCTTTTTTAATGTACTGAATTATTAAATTGATGACTGTTTATTTCCTGATTATATATAGATGCAGTTTATCATCGGAATATTTGGTAATATAAATAACTCAATGAATTAATCAAACTTTGCAGGAAGTAGCTAAAATTTATTCAAAAATTTTTTGATGCTTCTGTTTAATTACTAATCAACAATCTGCTTAATCAATGCAATTGAATAAAAAAATAAAAAATTAGAACAAAAATTCTGAAAGTTTGTTTATGGCAAAATATGGATCAAACTGAATAAATACTAATATTGTTTATGTTTATTTTAATCGTATTCAAAGGACTAATTTGTGTCTTGCATTTCATTTTGCTGTAATCAACGCATAAGATATTCATTAAATCTTGAAGTGCTATTTCTTAACATTTACCAAGTAATCCATCTATTCACTGATGAATTCATCAAGTGATCAATTCTGCTGATGAATTCTAATTTCAAGTGATGTTGTCGTCTTAAGTCATTACTTCTTCCATTCGACTAATAATGCGAGAACATTACCACAAACAGATTCCTTACCATGCTATTAAAAATTATTAATTTGGTTTTTACAAGTTGTAAACAAAGGTCGTGTTGACAACACTAACTTTAATTAGAGCTTGACCAACATACTTGAAAAGAAATAATTTTTTCTTGTACGAACAAAAGGATACGTTTCAAGATAAGTTAATATTAGCTTCTTAATTTTCTGTTCACTTCTATTTTTTTGATATTAACAGGATAAGATGGCAATCCCCCAAAATAAAGAAAATTGATATACAAATGAAAATATTGTGAAGAACTGTTAGACCAAATATAGAAGTTCTAAGCTTTGATGAAAAACCAAGTCAAATATGAATTCAACAATTTGTACATTTACTCAACCACATATATTTAGCTAATCACTAGTGCTTTTGTTTGGCAGGAAAGAGTATAACTTCACAAAATAAAAAATAAGCTTATAAAATCAAGCACCGCACAGTTAATCCATGCGGTAACAGTAGGTTTTCGAGGAAAAAGAAGCACAGATCTTCCAACTTATATAGGTTCTCAAGTGTAAGATTTTGCAAATTGAAGTTAAGGTGCTAACTTCTATATTTGGTCTAACAGTTCTATGAATTTGAGCATGTTACGGCGCTTCAAAATTGACTATAGAAGGATCACATATAATCACTGATTTCTGACTCAAAGCATTATCCAAAATTAGGGTTAACTGCTAAAGAGGACTGAACTGCAGAATGAAACTCATCAAGCAGTCGTCTAACTCGCTTCCCATCTACTTTTGCCAATTTAAAATGAGAGATAAATTTTCGAAAATTTTTTTTTTTAAATCTTTCCTTAATTTTTTTTAATTTTTAACTTTTAATTTTTTTTAAAAATTTTAATGGTTTCTGATGATTAGAAATCTATAAAAATGAATCAGTGTTGCAAAAAAATCAAATACTTGAATCGCTCTGTTCGTCTGAAGTTTAGAAACGTCCATTAACTGCATCTATCACATCTAGTAATAGCTTTATCAAAAATTTTGGAAAAGAGCTGAATTATTTACAGTATATCCGGCGTTCAATATATTTTACTGAATTTTTGTCTAATTGAAGTTTGTAGGAAGAGTATTTTGTACATATCAGAACAAAAACACATCAGAACAAAAGCACACGATTTCTTTTATTTTTTTGGAAACTGGAAACCAAAAAATAATCTGGCTCACTTTAAATAATTCTAGAGGTCACAATTTTTACTGATCATCAAATAGAAATCTACTCGTATTTATGTAATCAACTAATTTTTCTTCATCAGCAGAGTTATCGCCATTTTCATTTTCAACCCACTCTAACAATACTTCCGTGCAATTTTTACACGTACGAGCACAATGATAAGGTACTAAGCGTGAATTTCGAAGGCAAAAACCTTGCAATTTGAGTAGTTCGCAAAATGGATAACGATTGCTACAGTTTGTCGCTAGTTTAGCTGCTTGTGTATCTGAAAAATGAGATGAACTTATTTGCACCACAATTTTTGAAATTAATTAAATTACTAGGCTTGAAACATCACTTCTGGAAGTAGCAACACACTAAGATTTTAGTAATGATTTATATTTTCCTAATGCTCAATTAATTACACTACATAAATACTTACTTGCAATGTTTGCTTGACCGCTTTTAGTTACTTTAAGAATACTACCCACTGATCCATCTAGTAAATTCAGTAAATTGCTTAGATTAAGCGAGGAAAGAATTGATGAAGGCAATAAATTTTTATTTATTTGTGAAGTTTCATCAATAATTTCGTTGCTCAAAGTATCGTAATAATCTGTGCTTGGGATTACTGTAGTGAAATTTGTTATTATTGTAATGTGATTACTGCTTATTTCAAGAGGCTCAGTACAGTTTTCTTCAACCTTCGTGAATATTCCTTTTTTTATGTCAATTGTTGGTAAAGTATCATTACGACTGTTGATCAGTGTTGAAGCAGCAATTGCATCTGAATGCTTTGAGTGCATGAAATACGCTGAAAATCAAGCATTGTACCACAATAACTGATGGTGAGATCTTTAAATTTATAAAATAATAGATGCATTAAAGTCATGTTATTACTAGAATACGTAATTTCTGTATTACAATGAACTTATTTTTCCAATATATGTCTTAATCACACTGATGAATCGGCCACTGAACATGACTTATTTCTGTACATCTTCCAGACAAATTTTTTTTTCTGTTTCGCTATAAAAACGTGTTTTTTTAAACTGATACATTTTCGCTGGATTATCTACGAGATTATATGTAATCGTAAAATAGAGTAAATGAGAAAGGAACAATGATAAGGCGTAAATCAGGCAACATCTATTAAACATACTTTTTGAACAGTTGTATAATTTGTTAAGTTTCCAAATATCAATTCTAGACAAACCCTGTCGCTGACCAATTTTTACATCTAAAAAACTACTAATGAAGTATCCATAAATTCCTGACAAAGATACTTGCAAATTCTCTTATAAACATTAGTCTGAACTTTGTTGTCAACGATGCACTCATGAAAAGATGCAATAGTTCATACTTCCCAAGATTCATTTTCCACCTTACATTGATTTGGTCGTTTTTTTTTGCTTCAATTTATCTTATGCAGTCAGTTGCTGGGTTTTTTTTCGAAAAATTCAAGATTTATAAATTTTAGAAGTGAATAAACTCTGAAAAGGTAAATGTGTGCTCAACAAAAGTTTAGATAGAATAAAACTTTATGAGTTCTGAGATTCTAATCTTCTTTAATTTATCAATAATTCTAAGTAATTACCATTTCTTGAACTAGAGAAAAAGTAAATGAAGTATTGAAATTTATATCAGTCGATAAACTATTGAATAGGATTAAGTTTAAAAAGTATTCTTGACTTAATTGGTGCATACATGTTGGACAAACCTTGATGAAATCTAGGTGTTATGGTCGGTCGTCCATTTTTACTAAAAGCTTTTGATGAATAATGCATGATAGAATCGTAATCATAATCTGCTCCTAAATCATCAATTACTTTCTCGGAATATCTGTAGAATTGATCTGAAAAATAAAAATGGATTTAACCAAATATCTAATAAATGGAATTCATGCTACGCAGTCATTTCTTTCAGTTCATTTACCGTTTTATATCTGTGAGAGTTTCATACAAGTTCCAACCATCAAAATAAAAACAAAACATAATGATGTGGAATTTTTCAAAATCATGTAAGTTTCATCTAACATTGATAAACTTACCATGAACTATTGGATTTACATTTTCCCAATGAATTTTCACGTAAGAATCTCGATCAGAACGACCTGTTAAGAAAAAAATGTTATTTAGTTTAATCAAGCAGTGAGTCGACAAAAACTGCGTGCTACTGATCAAATCTATCGAAAGAAAATCCATTTTTGTCTTTGCCAGAAAATTATGTAAGTGATATTTATAGTTCAGTCAGGGATTAGCACAACTAAGTAAAACCAGTCTGTAATTTCAAGACAGAACTTCAAGATTTACTTTGTTCATGCAAGAAACCAAGAACGTGCATTAGTTCATGAATTATTATTCCTTTCTTGAGACATCCATCGCCCAAACTAACCATTTGTTTTCCACCTCGAATTAAGACATATTTATTTTACTTGGAGATGTAATTTGAATTCTTTATATGCAATAAGAATTTTCGAGTAACTGCTTACAATTATTAAGAAGAACTGGTGAAAAAATCTTTAAAAATGATAAATTTTTATCAGCAGTTTTCACAGAGCAAAATCAAAAACCTGACTTTAAATCGAATTTAAGACTACAAAAAGTTTCCTGACACCAACCATTTTTGCCAATCATCGAGAAGCATCCATCGCCAGGTATAATGTAAATATAGTCATAATCCAAAAGTGTTTTCGGGACAAATTTTATACAAGTTCGCACGTGAAATTCGTTAAATGCTTCCAAAATCACAAGTTTGCTAAATGAATAGCAAGCTATAGAATAGTAAATATAATAAATTGAATCGAAGTCGAGGATAAAGACTAATAACATTAAAGTTAATTAAGAAGGCAAATAACAAAAATCAAAATAATTGTCATAATCACTCATTGTCTTGATAGTTTTTTGATATCAAATATGGCACTCGTCTATGCGGCCAAATCAACATTTTTTGTCGTACTGCATTACGCTGTATCGGAAAGCCAGCATTTTCATGAATGTTATCAATATTCCCTTTATCGCAACCGCTTTCATTGCAGCGAGTAAAAGGAACGTAGACAAATATATCGCTGCTAAGAACTGTAAAAGATTCATCACTGTATTGAGAATAAGTAAGTAATCTCAAAGTTCAATTTCATTATCATCAAATCAGAAGTGCTATTTTTTCCAAATATTTTAAAATTTTTCGCTGTTTACTATTAGAAACAGAGATTAATATGAAAGATTAATGTCAAATGAATTATGTGCTGAACTAACTGATATCGCCTTCAAAACGATCTTCACGATAGAGCAATTTGTAATCGTCTTCGTCTTCATCACTTTCCATTTCTAATCTGGAATTAAACTGTTTACCATTTTTGATTCTGTCACCTTCCGATCCAAACGGAAAGCTCAGTTTTTTGTTCCCTTCGTTCTGATCCATTTCCAACCATGCACAGTTGATTTGCTCTTTACTGTACTGCAATACAATTGGCATTAATGTTTTATAATTCATGTAACATTTTGAAATAAAAAATATAAAACTAAAAGCTATTTATCAACATTTTACCTATAATAATTAACTCTGTATTTCTTCACTGATTTACTGTTCTAAAAAAGGAAAGGTAACTGACATAAGGGAGTTCATTTATTCACTGCAGTATATTAATATTTTTCTCAATAATTCAACTACATATTGATATTTTTTTAATAATTGAACAACACTGCATCAGTACTGCACCAAACCAGTAATAATTGAACGAGGAGAAGCAACCATAAGAATTAATTTTGTCAAGTTTTATTAATTAATTTTATTAATTTATCATTCCAATCTACATGTCCTTCACATCATATGTTTTTAAAAGGATTATTTTCCCTTCTGTCTCACATCTTACCTGCTGAAAGTGAACAATTTTTTCTTAGAATTAAATACGAAATACTATCATTAACTCAAGTGCTTATCACAATTAACACAATAGATATTTTTAAAAAAAAGTAAAGGGCGCAAAGTAAAATTTTCAGAATTATTTATGCAATTGTAAATACAGTTTTAACTTTGAAGCTACAGTGAATAAACAAGGAGTGCTTTACAGTTCAAGACAATGTATAAAAAATTATGATGAAGTTTTTGAATGATAGAAAAATTTATTCTTAAAATTTAAACAGTTTCAGAATGTCATATGAATTATATAGGAAAATTTCCTTGCAGAAATCAATTAACACATACTATTAGTTTGAAGC